CATTAGTCATGTGAATTCTACCTACAACCTTAAAAATATTAAAATACAAAAGATTTGAACAGTGATGATGAAATAATTTTTCATGTCTCACACCTGCATTACCCCTACCACATTTTTATTAGTTTCTAAAGTATTATGTCTTTTTTTAAAGGAGTGTCTGTGTTACTAAGTTGTACATAAATTCTATATTTCATACTTAACTCTGGGGATCTTTTTGTTTCAGTCCTTTAGTTAGCTAATTTTGATCTTATCTCCTAGGATGTTGGCTTAAGTAGGTAGTTTTATAGCAAATAAAGACATTTTTTTCTATGACTTTTACCATTTTCTAAAAAGCACCTAGGAATCTTAGTTTATGAGAATCAAAGACTCTAGGGTTCATAAGTAGTACAGACGCATTGTTACTATAGAATTTGTGAGAGGAAGTTTGGGCTTAATTCAGCTACAGGTGTCTTTGAGCATTATATCCTAGTACCTGATTGAAGTAACTGATCGTGGCAGACTAAACTGACATCCAAGAACTGCACCCAAGTGTATGAAAAAATACAAGGATAATTCATAGTATCTGTTTTCTTCTCCTATTTAAAGATCGGAGGCCATGAAATAAGACAAATGCAATGCCTCACTGATACATTAGTATACCACCACAAAAATTATCATAAAGACATACCTCAGAAAGCAGAGGTTTTCCAAACAGTGTAATTGTGCCAGGAAAATGTTATATTTTCCTATAAATGGTAAGGAGACTAAATGGGGAATAGCCTTATTCTGAAATGACCTTTTGGTTTTTCCCACCTTCAGTCTCCCAACCTTGAAAGTAGTCCTGTCTGATAGTTGCCTCAGATGCTGAACACTGCGGGCTACAATTGCACAATGAATGATAAAACTGCAAATTTCAATTTCTTAACAACATTTCAGTGCCATTTGGCAGTTTTCTGTGTCACTGATCAGCTATCTCCTCTTCTCTACAGCATATGTTTAGCAGATTTATTCCTTCTACAAACATTTCTTAAATTCCTACTCTATGTCAGGCATTGTTCTAAGCCCTGAGGATACAGCAGTGAACAGTAATGATGGGGAAAAAACCCGTCCCTCATGGATCTTACCTTCCAGCAAAACAATAAATGCTACAAAAGTTGCTTAAAATTCCTACATACTGTTGGGGGGATGACTATTGTCCCAGTTTGCCTGGAACAGTCTCAGTGTAGCACCTGTTTCTGGGTTTTAATAATGTCCCCTTTCATTTTCATATGGGTCCCAGTTGGGACAGTAAATTATATGACCACCCTAGTTCTAAGCCTTTTCCATATATTTAATCCTCATAATAACCCCATGAGGTATAAGATTATTAACATACAGATGTGGAAATTGAAGCATAAAGAAATTAAGTAATTTGCCCTTGGTCATACAAGTAGCAGTACCAGAATTCAAACCCAGACAACAGCCTGATTCCAGACTTTGTGCTTCGAATCATTTATACACTATACTGCTCCTATACTACTACTGTAAATCTGTACTATCTTCCTCTGCTTGTCTCCCTTCCTCTCCCAAGCAAGGTAGAGCAGGTTATCTCATCTCCTTCACAGATAAATTTATGGCTTTCCAGAGTGAACATCCTCAACTTGCCACTCCCTCCTTTATGAATCTGTCTTCATTTCTCCTCAGCCTCATTCCATTCCTCCATTTCAAGGAAGGGACATCCTCTTCCTTGCTAAGACGTTATTCCAGCTGGATCCCGTGCTGCCTTCTGGAGGGCGCTGTTCTCTAAATAACTCTTCGTCTTTCTTGGGCCTTTAGTCTCCATCATTCCACTGGCTTTTCCCGCTCAGCATCTAAGAGTGATCTGTTGTTGAAAGTGTGTATCACTCTTTCAAGAAGCTTTATTGTTGGGAGAAGGTTTTGAAAGTTTATTAATAATACAATGGCGATAAATGGTTACCAATTATTTATTACCTTCATTAAATTTCGATGCTGTATATATCTCTGCTCCTTTTACCAACCCTACACATACTTACAAATGAAGAAATGGAAACTCAGAGGGCTACATAACTTGCTTAGCCTATGAATAGAGGCACTGAATTCAGACTGATATTTGTCTTACTCCAAACCCAGTCTGTTTCTAGTGTATCGTGCTTGTTTATCATAATTCTTACAGACCTCCTTTGATCTTCTGCCTGTCCCCCATTGCCCTATCTATAGCTCTCCTTATTTTTGTAGAAAATCTTTTTTAAATAGAGTATTTAATACTCATAGATTCCTCTTGCCTTTCATTTACTTCTCACCCTATCCTGGCCTGACTTCTACCTCTGTATTAGGATCCTCCAGAGAAACAGAACCACCATCTGTCTATCTGCCTCTGTCTTTACTTATATATATATATACACACACACACACACACACACACACACACACACACACACATACTAGAGAAGGAGGGATTTTTATCTATCCAAGAATTGGCTCATGGATTGTAGAGGCTGGCAAGTCTGAAATCTGTAGGGCAGGTCAATAGTCTGGAAACTCAGGCAGAATTTCTTCTCTGGGAAAAATCAGGCCTTGTCCATAAGGGCTTCAACTGATTAGATTAGGCCCACCCATATTATCAGGGGGTAATCCCCCTTACCTAAAGTCAGTTGATTGTAATGTTAATCACATCTACAAAATAACCTCACAGCAACGTCTAGATTATTTGACTAAACAATTGAGCGACCATATCCTAGCCAATTTCACAAAATCAACCATCACAGCCTCTATCACTCAACCATGTCTTCTTCATTGCTAAATCCACTGGACACTTTTCACACCTTTCCTTGATCACTTTGCAACATTTGGCATTTTGAACCATTCATTATGTCTTGAAATCCTCCTCTCTTAGTTTCAATGACCCTAATTTCTCCATTCTCCTGTCCCTCTAGCTATTCCTTTTCTGATATTTCAAGAACTTCATCATTTTCTCTCAATTCCTTAATTTTTGATACTCCCTCCTATCCTTGGCCCTCCTATTACTACCATGATTGATGTCCAAATCTAAAATTCATCTTAGAATTCTCTACTAAGCTTCAGACCTATATATCCAGTTGCCTTTTGGCTGTCTCCACCCTGATGTTGCACAGACATCTCAAACTTTGCTTGTCTAAAACTGAAATCCTATTCTTCCCCTCTCAAATGTGCTTTTGCATCTCATCTGTTCTCTTAGTTTGTGGTACACTGTCTACCCTGTTACTCAAGCCAGGAACCTGAGAGGAATCCTCAACTTTTCCCTTACATTTACTGTTTAAAATTTTCTCATCATCCCTTTCTCAACCAAGAGAGCTCAGCCCTTGTTTTCTCTCCCCTAGAATCTTGTTGTGGACTTTCTGCTTCCTGTCAGTCTCTTTACAACCCCTCTACACTGCTGCCAAAGTGATGCTTTAAAAATGCAAACGTGTAATCATGTTTAAATTCCTTCAGTAGTTCCTAATTGCTCCCAGAATTAAGATAGAATTCTTTAGCAGACATATAAGGCCTTCCATGGCTCGCCCTTTCCTACTCTTTTATCTCCCACTGCACCTCACTCACCCATCCTACTTTCCAGCTGTACTGAAATATTTATAGAGCGCAGACTTGTCATGTTGTTTCCATGTCCTGTACTACTGTTTCTTCCTGGCATGCCCTCTATTTCTGTCATTTCCCTGCCTCCCTACCCCAACCTGGGGCATCTGAAAAAACTGTCTCAGTACCCAATCCAGTCTTCTCCTGTGAATAACGTTCTCTGCTTCCACAGATTTGACCTTGCCTCCTTTCTGACATGCTCATACATTGTTTTCAGCTGTACTATAGCACTTACTGCCGTATTACTTATTTTCTGTTTATGTGAGTACCACCTTTCAATGGACTGTGAACTCTTCAACTGTTTGCACTATCTGGCATATAATAGGCCCTCATTAGATGTGTGGTGGTGGTGGAGATGATCAACCCAGAGGGGATCACTCTGTCCATTTAAGTAAGGCCCTGCCATCTGTATATCAAGGAGTGCAGGGCTTGGACATGAACAGAGGAGAATGGTAGACACTTCTTTATCCTCCTCTGTCCCTTCTAGAGGCTGCTGTTTGAACCTTAATATCAGATTCCTTTTGATCGATACTTTCTATGATATTCTGATACATATTCTCAGCCTTCATTTTGCTTTTATTTTGCATGTATCCTTGAAGCAGTTAGAAAGGAAGCTGTTAAATTACAGTGACAAACTCGCACTGCCCATTTCATTCCATCACAGAAGTCATATGCTTGTTTTCACATGTTTCTTGTGTGCCAAAAGAAGTCTTTCTAAGCCAGTAAGAAAGAATTCATATTATATTTTTCCAGTTTTTTAAATCCTCCTTTGTCCTCAAAATGTTTCCATGCATTTAATGTCAAATTAAAAACTAAACCAGTTCTTTGTTCATCCTCAGAGAAGAAATAATGTTTTTTAGATTATTAAAGGAATAATGAAGACTTCTTGGGTTTTTAACGTGAACACTTCAGGTGGCCAAGGGTTGTGCTGTACACATTGGGGTCAAAGGACAGTAGAATGGTCAGCATCTCAGTTTAAACTTTGTATTACTTTCTACTCTACATACACTCACAGAGGCTACTTGTGGTGTAACTCCTTATGTATTTAATATTTATCTGACTCTTGGTTTTCTTGGTTGATCTTTTAAAGGGGGGGGGTGAAGAATCTACATATGAATTCTTTTCCCTTTATGGAATGTGATATCTTGGTTTTTATTCCATCTGTCCCTTCCCCTTAATTTTATCTTGTTTTGCATTGTGTTTCTAAAATAATGGCTTTGGCTTGTTTTTTCCTGAATGTTTCTGCAGTTTGGTTTGAGTATCTGGCTTTGGGCACCCCTCCTGAACTTGGACTCCATCCGTATTTGTGACTTTTGGAAGGGAGAAGTCAGTGTTTTCTATGGAAGATTACTGTTTTTTTAATGTTATTTATGTATGTGTCTCCCCCCTTCCTTTTTGGTTTCTCTTAAAAGACTGGAAAGAAAGCAGTTAAGGCAGTCCTGTGGGTATCAGCAGATGGACTCAGAGTTGTGGATGAAAAAACTAAGGTAAAATTTGTATAAAGTTTAAAATTTTTATAAGCTTAAATGTTACTATTCATATTTTTTTCAATCTCTAATGATCAAATATAATGCCTTTAGGCTGTTGTAGTCACTCTGAATCCTTCCATTTAGTCCAAAGTGCAGTCTTCTGAGAGGCTCGTTAATGTTCAGGCAACCAATTTAGTTAACTCATTTACCCTAGTGAAAAACAAGAAAATTTTCTCAACATTTTGATCTACATGACACAGCATCTTAAGTGTACTAAACATTTGTACTTAATGTCCCAGTCTGAGCTCTACATTTTTTCTTACATGTAATTTTTAAAAAATGTTTACCCCCATAAATTTGATGTAAAAGATGATGGACAATACCACAGTTAAATATTTTTTAAAAAAGACAATGGGCCACAGCTGAGATTCCTTCTTGTTCCTTAATAAAACATTTTTAGTAAGTGATATTTGAATTGATTAACCTACTGTTTGGCTGAAAACCCAATTTAAGTGACTTAAGGAATAGTAAATGGCTCATATCATTATAACATTTACTTAGAATCTCCACAATGTCTTAAATCATCGGAAGCATTCTGCATTTGAAAGAAAGCGATCATACATGCCCAAATAAGAATGGAGACATAGACTTTGTCCTTAGAGAACATAAGGACTTATATAAGCACATTTAGTCATCAATTAAAATTTCCTAAGAGACCTAAAAAGTCTGGAGAAATTTTAACAAGGAAGTAATTTTTCCAAAAAAGGGTTACTATCCAAAATATATTAAAAATTCATACAACTTGATAATATTAACAATGAATCCAATCAATTAATAAATGGACCAACACGAAATGTCTCTGTAAGAGGGAGAAAGTATGACAGGTAAAGAGTACTTTTGATGAATAACACCTCATCATTTTAAGTGATTTAATATTGCTGCATTTTAGTTCTTTTGATCTTCCATCTAAGTTCAAGGGAAGTGGTAGTCTTAAGTGTGCATTACTATTGGAAACAACGACCATTGTAATTAGCTTACTGCTGAAAATCTGTGTAGTCTTCATTAGTGTTTTAAATGAAAAATTTGTACAGGGAGGTGGTTTTAATTACTTTTATACAGTAGTTAGAAAGTGATGTTGCCCCCTGGTGGCTACTTATAGCATTGGCATTAATTAGTCCTTCCTATGTTGAGTGATAATACTAACTAGTGGCTTATCACCCTTAGATCCACCATGAATACAAAAGAAACTTTACAGTGTGTATGATCTGTAAATGGCTCATATATAAAGAACTCCTATATATCAATAAGAAAAATGATATACAATCCAAAAGATCTGAAGAATAACTTTGCTAAAGAGGAAATTTGTAGTAATCAAGGTTATACAAAATAAAAGCATAAGCCATCAGAATTACAAAATTTTAAAAAATTGATTAGTAAGTTTATGGGGCAACAGGAATTCTCATAGTGGGGCTTTATAAAAGCCTTTTTGTTTGATTGTATATTTCAGTACTTACAGCCCACCTCAGCATCTAGGCATTCTAGGCTATGAGAAAATCACACAGAAAAACCTCAAGATTTTTTTAAAAATTTGTGTAACATTTATACTATATGTATACTGTGCCATTCAGCAAGTATATAAACAGAATGTCATACTCAAAATTAAATGATCAATAAATTAATAAATGCAAAAAACTTCTGGAAATGATATTCTTAAAAGTAAGATACATGGAAATTAAATATATTAATTCACATATATTATGAAGTTGAATGTGGAATCTACCATGGTAAAACTAGAATCAGCAATCATATGTTTTAGAATATGAAGATGAGGTCAGGGAAGCATTGGAACAAAGTGCCTCTTGGGATCTCTTCTAGGTCAAATTCTTAGTATTCAGACTGCTGGCCTCAGATCTAGCCATTCCATAGCCTCGATGCATTAGATGTAAGGATTTGGTATTGTGAAACAACATCCTGTTTTTTTCTGAGAACCTTGAATAACCTCATAAATCCTCTGTTCCTTTGTAATTCTCTTGTTCTAGGACCTCATAGTAGACCAGACAATAGAAAAGGTTTCTTTCTGTGCCCCAGATAGGAACTTCGATAGAGCCTTTTCTTACATATGTCGTGATGGCACCACTCGGCGCTGGATCTGTCATTGTTTCATGGCTGTCAAGGACACGGTGAGTCTAACAGCATGGATTTCATCATGACTAACCTCTGTTAGCCAAGCTCCTCCTGGTTTGGCTCAGCCAAGCAGTTTCCACTACATTTTTAATACGTATGTGCTGTTACCACACTTGCAAGTCCCCAAACTAGCCTGCTTTCACCCCTTTTATTCAAGTAGTTCACACTCTTGGTGTGTCTCTCCCCTCCGCCCCCAAATTCCAGAGCAAGATGATTGGCTGAGATCCAAAGTCATTAAAGAAAAGTAAAAGTGCTGTAGTGATGGTAGATGCTAAACTTTATTTGAAACTTCTCATTATTAGAACTATTTTCAAGACTTCTTAGGTGTATTTGTTTGCTAATTTATCTCTCTAGAAGATACTTGCAATTTGAAAGGTGCTTATAAACTTATTTGCAAAGAGACTACTACAAATGAAAGAATTGAGTTGGAGTATCATATTTTCAATTAATTAAAAAGCAAATATTAAATTGTACAATGAAAAAAAGGAAAAAAGAAAAAGAAAAAAATTGTACAATGAGCTGTGCTAAAAATTGTTGCACATAGAAATTTTTTGTTTTGTCTAAAAATAGGGAATAATGTAATCTATTATCTTTCATGTAAATTACCCAAAATTCTGACATGAAATGCAAGCTTCTTAGATGCTGATGAGCATTGAGTTGTATAATTTCTGAATTTTTAGAAATCCAAACAGAATAAGGCAGTATAGCCATTCATGAAGGTTACAACTCAATAAATGCTCACCAAGCTTTAACCTGGAAAATAAATGGTGGCCAGGCTTTAAAAATTGACTAGAAAAAAAAATTTTTTAAGCACATTGAGACAGTATAAATAAATATTAAGAGTGAGGGCTCTGAATCAGACCTGGGTTCCAGTACTGGTTCTGGTTCTTACTAGCTGTGGGGTTTGGGGCAACTTATTGTAACATTCTCTGAGTCTTCATTTCCACTTCTAAAAGATGGAGCTAATAATTGTGAAGACTAAATTAGATAATGAATATAAGCACTCTTAGCATAAGGTCTGGCCCACAATAACGGCTCCAAAAATGGTCTCTCATACTGTTCAAGCTGTGCATCCTTGGTTTGACACAAGGCTTTGAGAATGAGTTGAATAACTAAACTACAGTTTCTTCCTCTGTCTCTCAGATTTTAAGCTACAAGCAGTATATTTTGCTATTCTTATACTCACAAAATCCAAAGAGTTTCCCTATATTAATTTTAAAAACGTTTTATTGTCAAATCAGGGTCTTTCAGGCTGTTTGAATCTACTAGGCCAGTGGTTCTCCTATACCAGAATCACATAGACCTTATTAAAACAGACTGCTGGGCCCCAATCCCAGGGTTTTTCATTCAGTGATTCTGGGATGGGGCTTGAGGTGTCTGTCTTTAAGAACTTCTGCCCTAGGCCTAGGAGAAATAAAATAAGCTTCCTTGGCCTGTAGCACTGTTCTTGTAATAGAGCTGTGTTCAAATGCAAGTGGGTTCTAAAATTCCTTTGATACTCTCCTCTATTTCATGCTTCAGTGTTTATCATCCTACTGAGAAGTTAGATGGGAAATAATGTAGGTTCATAAAGAATAAGTTTCTCTGTTAAATAAACAGTCATGTGAAATCTTACAGTTTAAAGTCACCTGGAATCTTAGGGGCAAAAAGCATTTTGGCTTTATCTGCCCTTTGATATCTGATATATATTTTATATAAAATCAGTGAAAATACTTGCTCAGAGCCATATATAGGAGCATTGGCCCACATGGTGTGATTTTGAGAACTCCACAAGGGGCTCCCTGTTCTTAGATACCTCCTTTCACTATTAGTGATGCCAATAGTTACTACATCATGTCTAACTTTTTAATTCCACAATTAGAGATACAGTTTAAAATACAGATAACCCTGGTAAAAATAATCCCTTAACTTTATTAAATTTACTCTAGGTAATATGGTATATCTTTAAAACAGTATTTAGATTATATAAGCCCTCCTCTCCTACACACAAACAAATTAGTTTTATCTATTTAATTCCTTTTTAAGTAGAGAGTATGAATGAAAAGTTGCTTTGTTTATCTTTTTGCCTGTGTGTGGTTGGGAGGTAGAGTTAGGGTTGAGAGAGCTAGAAGAAGACGGAAGGTATGGAGGAAAGCCTGAAAGCTTTCAAGGCTGTCTAGGCTGGGGAGGGCTTAGGGTGGGGGAGCATTCAGAAATGAGCGACTGAGGAAGCCAGCCTCTCCTTTGCCTGATTCCATTCTCATCACTGGAGTTGAATTTATTTATCCGAAGTTTTAAGTTTGCACTTTTTTTTCCTAGACATGTTGACAGTATATTTAAGCTCCTGAGCCTATCCAGTATTTTCTTAGAAATACTTGGTAAATATTCCCACTATTCTAAATGGCAAATAGAGGCTTTTGTGTCAAGACTTAGGGCCAGAACCCTGAGCAGTATCTCCTAAGCTGGCAGCCAGAGCTAATGTGAGAGACAATGGGAGCCTGACTAATAAAGAGGTCTCATAGCTGTTCACAAAAATACAGGTTACTCATGGTCCCTGTACCTGGTGCCTATTCAGTAAGGTGTCATAAGCATTACCTAAGGCAATATATTCACTTAAATTCATTTGCCAAATGAATATATTAAAATCTAATGTTAAGTTAGAATTCCCAGCATTTTGCCTTGTGTAAAAGCAGACTTATTTGTGGTCCAAGCTTATCTGTAATTGTTGGTACTGTAACTAAAAACGTCATTTAAACCTTCTGTTACATACAGGGTGAAAGATTGAGCCACGCAGTCGGCTGTGCTTTTGCAGCCTGTTTAGAACGTAAGCAGAAGCGGGAGAAGGAATGTGGAGTGACCGCTACTTTCGATGCCAGTCGGACCACTTTTACAAGAGAAGGGTCATTCCGTGTCACAACAGCCACCGAACAAGCAGAAAGAGAGGAGATGATGAAACAAATCCAAGATGCTAAGAAAGGTACAGTCTGTTCTACTATGGTGTGTGTTTATTCAAGCAGTTTTCCCCAGCAGGTCAATATTTGGAAGCTCTCAGGGGCGAGCTTTTTCACAAAGAGAATGCTTAGCCATATATGAAGACCTTAAAAACAAAGCTGAAAACCTAAACAAAGTCCTTTCCTTTGAGTGGCTTGTTTAGTGGCTTCAAAGTTGTTTATAGTCTTTGTATTGTATTAAGCTATCTGGGGAAGCTCAGAGTGCACTGAAGAAGCTGCGAAGAGATACCCACTGTATTTAAAAACAAAATTTGGAAAATCTATATTCCAGAACAGATTTTTAATTTGATGAATCTGAGCTCTGAGAGGCAAATGCCAGCAAGGAACTATATCTTGAAGAAAGAAGTACAAGTCCCAGGTTTAGGCTGCAGAGAATCTACTGAAGGTAATGCTAGGTGCAAATGCAGGTAGAGATTTCACAGTGATACTGTTTGTATTAGGTTATTATTGTTTTTAGCTCTTTAGTGAAAAAAGTCCATATATGTTGAGAAGCTCGCCCCTCTTTTCCCACAGCCTTATTAATTTTAGTATGTGTTTTTGCAGAATGGGAGTTTTCTCAGGTGTACATGGCAACATAGCAGAAATGCCTGTAGAGGCATTTAAGTTATTCAGGAATCTATTTCTAAAGTTGGGTTGAGTGTATTTTAAAATTAAGTGATAGGGCTTGGGGCAAATGCTTTGCATGCCTGTGTATAGCTGGGGTTGAAACCAACATGGAATATTTTGGAATTAAAACAGTTAAGACAGTTCAGTTAAAATATACATTAATAAAATTTTGCTAATTTTTCGTATCTTTTTAGTTCTAAGCCAGCCATTTTAAATAACATCATTAATATACAAACAGCTCTAATTCTTAAGCCAAAAAAAATCTTTTTTATTTGAAATTATTAATTGTGATTTTTTTTTCATTTCTATTTGTGCCACAATAGCAAAGAATAAAAAAAATACCATGCTGCCATTAAAACAAGATAAATACAAAAAAAAAAAAAACACCATGCCACTTATCAGAATATTTAGTATGGATTGTACAATTCAGTAATTTTCATACTGGAACCATATTCTTTAATATTACCAAATATACTTTTTGGCACACACAACAGTTGCCAAAATGGTTGTATTATACTTAACCACAAGACTGTTTTCATGTGAGTACCAGCTAAGTCCCATTCTGATTGTGGTAAATCTCTAGCCCCCTCCCCTCACAATCCTTTGTAGGTGTTAGGACTCAATTTAAAATTTTACTTCTGTGTACTCTTATTCAGATGAGCCACAAATGTGTATTGTCCCTGATATAAACACTGCTTTCTGACTTTCTTTAGCATCTAATCAAACATATGCTTGTTTAGACCTCTCTGACTCTGCCACTTGCAAAGTTCTCTCCCTCAAACAAACAAGCAAATGTTAAAACCATTAACCATCATTCTGTAAAGGACATCATATTAGGAGTTCATAGGTACTGGTTTGTTTTTTAAATCTTGATGAAAGTCTTAAATTATGAATCACTGCATGAGAATCAAAAGTCTACTATTTGTCTTAGTCTATATACCATGTGACATGTGGTAGGTTATTAAATCTTTTATTTTTCTGAAAAATATATATAAGCCCTGCTTCTAAACTGTGTTTTAAGAGATGGGAAGGAAGTAGGGTAAAGGACTTAGGAGGGTTTTAGATTTCCTCAGGTGTATAAGCTCAAATTGTATGAAGACATTACTAAGGTCCTCTTTCTCTTGACTTCTTGAGCTGAAACAGATAAGACAGTTGTTGGTTCATCAGTGGCCCCTGGCAGCACTGCCCCATCCCCACCCTCTCCCACCTCTCCCACTTCGGATACCACTGCCTCTGTGGAGATGAACAATCCTCATGCCATCCCACGCCGGCACGCGCCAATTGAACAGCTTGCTCGCCAAGGCTCTTTCCGAGGATTTCCTGCTCTTAGCCAGAAGATGTCACCCTTTAAGCGCCAGCTGTCCCTGCGCATCAATGAGTTGCCTTCCACTATGCAGAGGAAGACTGATTTCCCCATAAAAAATGCAGGTAATGCAGCATCCCCTTGACTCACTGGGCACTCCAGCCCTGAAGCATTATCATCACTTCCAGTGGAGACACTAATCCCATTCAGCCAGCCACTCCTCTCTGAGGCTGGTTGAGGTTCTACTATCTTGTATCATTTCCCATTGGGAGAAAACTACGGGTTCGTGGAGGGGGACATGAGTCATTCATTTCTCTTCAACAAATAGGTAACAGAGCCATGATGGGAATTCCCAGCCTCAGCTGCAAGGTTTGTGGTTTATCCTAATGGAAGTGTACTTCCTTTCAGCTGACCTGCTTCCAAACATCAAGGGTCTCAAGTTTCCGTTCTTATGCTGCCATTTGGGACCCAGCAGGGAATTTATAGAAAAGGCTTTGGTAACACATCCAGTTAAATAGCATTACTGTCAGATGTACCAGAAGAAATGGGTAAGTGCTCATTGTCCCTGTGGATGGTTACCTCCTTAGGGAGGAAACTCTAAACAGGTCTCCTGTATAAATCTAAGATCTTTTGATCATCAACAGATGGGCTTGCTCACATATTCATGACCTTTCAGAACTGCCACACAGGCCTTTTTGTGG